TCATAATCTGATATTGATTCTCTTCGCTCTCATTCATTCTTTAATTTATTAAATATTTATTGAGCGTCACCTATGTGTCTGGGCATGTGAAGTGCTGGAGATACAGCGATCAAGACGGCTGGGTTTATGGGGGAAATCTAAAGAGCAGCGACCTATGGTTCTTGTCTTAGCTCTGCCACTTACTGCCTGGCGTGGAGCAATTGGTCATCTAAGTGTCAGGTTTCCTAAAATCAGAGCGTCCAGAACCTCATAGGGCTTTTGGCAGGATCCAATGAGACAATGTTGGGGAATGTCTTTATAAATCTTATGACGCTATGTGACTGAGGGATTATCATTAATTTGCATCAATCTGTTAGTTACTTCACTCATTTAACAAACATAAATCCTTAAGTTATTTCATGAGATCTGGAGTAACAACCTGGGTCTGAGTCCCCATTCTGTCAACTGTGTGATCTTCAGCAGTGACCTAACTTCTCTGAGCCTCAGTTTCACCATCTGAAAAATGAGGGTGTCAGTATGGTCTCCTGAGTGTTAATGTACCCAATGAGATACCGTATGTGAAAAGTGCATTGTTCAGTAAATAAATGTTGGCTAATGTTGTATTTAGGGCAGATACTTTGGTTTCTAATTCTCATTGCAGCATTTCTATTTCTGTGGCACTTTTTCCTGTAATATTCAGTTCAGCATGTGCCCCCCCTGGGGCTCCAAAGCTTCTGGTGCCTTCCTTCTGAGATGAAAGAGTGAAATGGAGCAAGAGGGGCAGGGAGGACTGTGTGTTCTGGCTGGGCATGTGATCAAGCCATGGCCCAGGTCCTCTGACCTCTGCTGTCCCTGAGGACCCTGATCTCTGGCCTCCTGATGCATCCTGGTCCCAGAGCACTTGCTCAGGGATTCTCACTGTCTTGGGACTGGGTATTATCCTGCACTTCCAGGCTCCAGGCCCTCCAGAGAAGAGGTCATTGTGTCCAAAGTTAAGAGTAATGAACCTCAGGTTTTCCCCTTCAGGGGCAAAGCAGAGGCTGGGCAGTCTGCATGCATGCAAAGAGGGACCCCAGGAGCGTCCCTGGTTGACCAGAGGGCTGGTGACCGACTGACCAGGAAAGGGTGCAGGAAGAGGTAGTCAGGGAGTGGTGCACAGAGAGGCCAGGGTACTTGGGTTAATCATCACTGTGGCTCAGATAAGGCCCTGCCAGCTGGAAGCAGAGTTAGCGTGACAGAAGGGTTTGTGTGGCTGAGGAGGCAGGTACGACAGGGTGTCCACAGCCTGTGACCATGCCAGGCACAAAACGGTTTCAACATGTGATTGAGACCCCAGAGCCTGGCAAGTGGGAAGTAAGACCCCCTTCTCCATGTTGGTCTTCTGCACTGATTCCTAGAATTATTTCTCATCTGCACTTCCCTTCACCCTGGGTTTCTACTCTCCCTCCCCTCCTTCCCATCTTCCTTCCTGATCTTCTTCCCCTATTAGGCCCAGAGTACCAAGTGCAGGCTAAATCCTTGGATGGTGTGTGTGTGTGTGTGTGTGTGTCCAAACCTTGTGCCCGCTGCCACTCCCACCTCCAGATCAGCAGGCGTGAATGAGGCTTTGGCTTCCTGCCTGTATCCTTGTGCCCCCTTCCCTCTAGTTGTCTGGGTATGAGGAAGCCCTGCCAATCACAGAGAAGTCAAACCCACTGACCCAGGACCTGGACAAAGCAGATGCCGAGCAAATTGTTTGACTGCTGGGACAATGTGATGCTGAGATCTTCCAGGAGGAGGGGCAAGTCATGCCCACGTACCAGGTGACCCAGACCATCCCCTGGACACTGAAAATAAAGATGCCGACTCCAACCGTACCTCAACCTCTGCTCTCTCAGACCATGGTCCTTAATGTTTGAGACCTGAGAGCCCCTCCACCCCACCATTAACACCCCCCCCCGCCCCAAATCCAAATGGCTTCTGATTCCTGCCTGTTGCCTACAGCGACTGTACAGTGAATCGATTCTGACCAGCATGGTACAAGTGGCTGGCAAAGTTCAGGAAGTGCTGAAGGTACGGGCTTGCCATTTGCTCCCCTCCTGAACTTCTCTTCCCTCCACCTTTCTCTTTTCTTGGCCTCCACTTCTGATTTTGCTCCATCTCCATCCTCCTTTCTCCCAGTCCTCCCTCTGGGATCTTTATTGTCATCTTATTAATCAACAGTAATTATAATAACTATTATCTGCATCATACTCTATAACTGGCATTGTGCTTTCACACTCATTACCTTTGCAAAAACCTGTGAAATTGGTGTGATTGTCTCCATTTTTTTTCAGATAGGAAAACAAAGGATAATCACGGTAGCTTGCCCAAATATATCCAGCTAATAATTGCTGGGTAGCACTGTTTTTTATTGATTGATTGGTTGATGACAAAGCTGCTCTCAGTCCTTTCTGGAATAAGTAAGGATTGAATAAGTAGCTAAGCCAGAGCTGGGAGTCAGACTGAAGTTTCATTCTTTCTGCGACACCATACCACCTATGTTCTGTTCCCTTTTGTCGTAAGAGAAGGGTTAAGAAGTCTCCCCAATTGTTCTTCTGCTGCTGATAGAGAAAGAATATGCTTCCCCCAACCTGAGCTAGGACCTGGCGACATAGGCAGTTTTTCTTTCTCAGGAGCCTGAGGGGGCGCTGGTGGTGCTGAGTGGAGGGGTTACCTCTGGCAGGATGGCATTTCTCATGTCGGTGAGTACCCTGATCCCTGATTTTCCTCCCTCTGCCTTCTCGGAGTGACCCTCAGGACCATAAAGCTCATCATAGCTATGTTCCTAGGTGGCCCCCTCGAGGCCTGGCTCCCTCTCTTCCCAAAGCTAGATCTCACCATGGAGCCCTCATATCTTCAGAACCCACCTGATCCCCACCAGTCTACTGCCCGTGTCTCTACATCCTATGCACCCCCAGTCCATCATCTGCAAGTAGCATTTGAAGTGCCAAATTCCAAGCAGTACTGGCTTAAGCGCTGGCCTGAGGGAATCCTTATAAGCTTCTACACTCTAGGTGTCCAAAATCCAAGATAATCGCTCCCTTCACTATCATCACTACTTCATATCCTTCCCCCCTGACAGGTCTCCTTCAACCAGCTGATGAAAGGTCTAGGACAGAAACCCCTTTACACCTACCTCATTGCAGGGGTGACAGGTAAGACAAGTTGGCTTTGAATATTTTGTTTGGTCTGGACAGTGTTTTTTTGGAAATGTAATTTTAGAGCTTTCAGGTGAAGATTGTATCCAGTTTACTTTGGTCCCCATCATTTCTTATTGCCTTGCACTTGGCCCACTCCACATACTCATGTTACCTGATTGGCCTTAAAGGTACTGGAGTTTTTCAGCTCTATAGAGCATCTATCATGGTGTCTAGCAAATAGTAGGTGTTCAGTCAATGATAGCTTTCCCTTCATTCCCTTCTCTCAAAGCATTCTCTTCTCTGCCCTAGTATACCGTAGGCTTCTGCTTCCAAACCAGTGCCACTGACCTTGAGTCTGTCTTCTTAGGTCTGTGGTGGCATCTAGGGAGGGGACAGAAGATAGTGCCCTGCACGGGATTGAGGAACTGAAGAAGGTCTGTGTTTTCCACTGATAGCCAGACACCTCTGTCTGTTCCTTCCCATGAGGACACAAAAGCCCCCATCCAGCCAAAGCCCATTCCCTCCCCTAGTCCTGACCCTAACATCCCCACGCAAAGGTTTGTATCCTAGAATCCTCCTGGTGGCACTGTCTCACCCACCCTCTTCTCCTAGGTGGCTGCTGGGAAGAAGAGGGTGATTGTCATTGGCATTTTGGTGGGACTCTCTGTGAGTGTAAAGACAGGCTGGGTGGATCCATTTTATAGGGAAGAAGGGGGTCAGAACAGAATAGCATGGAAAATAGATTGATGAAGTGGGTGCTAGAAAACAGAAAGGGTTTGCACAAGGAATTTTGATTTTACTCTCACTAATTGAGATCCAGTTGTATGAATGTGGGACGAAAGGGAAAGGATCCTATTTCAGAATACCTGTGTATCAATCCATTCAACAACCAAGGTAGATGGACTAGTCCCAGCGTCAGCAAACTACATAGGCAAGTCAATCCTGCCACTGCCTGTTTTTGTAAATAAAGTTTTACTGAGACACAGCCTTTGTGTTTACATAACATGGCTGCTTCATGCTACAATGGTAGGGTTTTGTATTGTACAGAGTTCATAGGGCCCCCAAAGCCTAAAATATTTACTTTCTTGCTCTTTACAGAAAAAGCTGATCTCTGGGCCAGTCCTTTGCTACTTAAGCATGGTCCTTGAATAGTAACATCAGTATCTCCTAGGATTTGCTAGAAATGCAGAATCGCAGGCTCCCCCCCAAAACCTGAGTCTGAATCTGCATTTTAACAAGATTCCAAGCACTGGACTTGGTGACCCCAATTTTCTGTCACCATTGCAGCATACTGATTCTAACAATTCACTAAGCAGAAACAAGTCCAGCAATGCTAGATGTGGAAGGAGGCACACAAGGAGGGCAGGACACTGACCTTAAGGAGCATAAAATTTAATTCAATAGTTTTTAAACTTTACCATGCAGAGGATTTCCTTGGGGAAACTTGTTAAAAATACAGGCCTGGGGCTTTCCCCTTCAAATGTGGATCCAGTAGATCTTACCTGGGTCTGGGAATATGCATTTCTTTTTTTTTTAAAGCAGGTTTTGTTTTTTTTGTTTTTTTTTTAAGATTTTATCTATTTATTTGACAGAGAGAGATAGCGAGGGAGGGAACACAAGCAGGGAGAGTGGGAGAGGGAGAAGCAGGCCTCCCACAGAGCAGGGAGCCCGATGCAGGGCTCTATCCCAGGACCCTGGGATCATGACCTGAGCCGAAGGCAGACGCTCAACGACTGAGCCACCCAGGCGCCCCTGGGAATATGCATTTCTAACAAGCATTTTGGGGGATCCTGATGCCTCTGGGCCTCGGGCAACAACAGAGTAACCCTTCTCATCATGCCCTTTTTCTTCCCCTACCATCAGGCTCCCTTTGTGGCAGGCCAGATGGATTACTGCATGGACAACCCAGCCATCTTTTTGCCAGTCCTGGTTGGTTTCAACCCTGTGAACATGGCCAGGTAAGCCTGCTGAAATGAAAGACAGTGACTGACCACACCCCTGGGGGAGGCCAAGAGGGAACCTGTCAAAATCTACAGTACGACCACAAAGGGGATGGCACGGTGGATATGGTCTTATTGACCACATCTCAGAATATTAAAGTAAATATCGACTGTCCCTAAGCTTATGAGGTTTTTGTTTTCGGTGGGTTGTTTTTGTTTTTGTTTTGTTTTTTTGGTCGGTTGGTTGATTTATTCTCTTGTTTCAGAAAGGATTGAAGGCAGCTTACAAAGGCCACATAAAATATCAAAAGCATACATTCAAAACAGGAAGGGAAGAGACATGGAAAACAAGGGCCAGAAGGTAGACTAGGGTCAGGAAAATGCATACCACAAAGATGAGCATCTTTTCAAAGGAGCAGTGGGTGCTGAGTGGCCTCTGACTCCCCTTTGCCCAGCTTCCTTATTTTAGCACCCATTCTCCTTTGTCATTCTAGGCACTCCTTTGGTCCCCTCTGTTCCCCTTTCCTGAAAACTTTGTGCCACCCAATCACCTCTGCCTTATTCTCTATGTAGATGGCCACTGTGACCTCAGAGAAGGTCAGTGTATGAAATCCATAGTGCTCAGGTGTGGTTCTGTGGATGTGCAGCCTTGGGAGTGGTTTTTGTTTTTGTTTTTTAGATTTTTCTTTTTAAAGATTTTATTTATTTATTTGACAGAGAGAGACAGCGAGAGAGGGAACACAAGCAGGGGGAGTGGGAGAGGGAGAAGCAGGCTTCCTGTGGAGCAGGGAGCCCAATGCGGGGCTCGATCCCAGGATCCCAGAATCACGACCTGAGCCGAAGGCAGATGCTTAACTGACTGAGCCACCCAGGCGTCCCAGGGAGTGTTAAAGCAATAAGAAGGTAGATTTTTAGCCCCTTGTGCGAGAGCTCTGATGTTGTCGCTTTGGGGTAAGGCCCTGAAATATCTATTTTTTGAAGACATCCCTGGAGATGCTGGTGCGCAGCCAGGTTTGGGGAACTCTGCTAACTTAACCATTGGAGTGGGCCTCCTGATGAAGCTAAAGGCTTCCTGTTGCTGGAGTATTCCAGTGAAGGCTTGTTGATTTCTCAAGAGCAGCTTTGCATTCAGGGGTGGTCTTGGGGGATGGGGCAGCTGGGTGCTTTCTGAGGTCTTTTTCTCAACTCCCAGATTCCAGGCTTGTAGTGTAATTCATGTGAAGATATAAATGAGTCTGAGATACTTTTAACCCTGCTCCTTTTCATGGAGGACTCTCCTTCGCCAAAAATGTATCTGCTGCAGTGGATGCTAATTTCAGGCACTGTGACTAAGAGAAATAAAGGATTTCAAACAACGTAGGCGTGGAGATCTTCTAGTTGTTACTTAAGTCAGTGGCTCCCAAACTTGGCCAATCTTCAGAGTCGTCTGGGAAGCATTTTAAAAATACAGATTTTGGGGCTCCACTCCAGAACTCCTGAAGTTGATTCTCAGGGTGCTCGTGGTACCCAGAAATGGGTAGTTTAAAAAAAAAAAACAACAACTCAAACTCCCCAGGTGATTTTGATGACTAGCCAAGTTTGGGAGTCTAGGTTTCCACTGTACAATGAACACTGTCTCCTCGCTCTGCTTAGGTCTCTAGGGACTTTCAGAAGTAGTTTGAGGACAAATGACAGAAAACACTTTACACGATGGGCATGTAATATGTGAAACTTGTTTGCCCTCGAGGAAATACAGATGAAAAAATATAAAAATAGTTCAAGAAGGGGTAGACATTTTGCAGGGATGGGATGATAAGAGGAGGTTAGAGAGGCCTTATAGAGAGGTAACTCTCTGAGCTCCTGCCACAGTGGGTGATTTGATAAGTACCCCCTAGCAGAGTTGACCAGTAGAGGTCAACTACAGAAGATCCCCATTCTTTGAGATTCCATGGTTGCACCTAAGCAGGTAACAAGTCTGTTGATCTCTTGTCCCCTTAGCACATTGTTTTGTTCATGATTAATTTATTCAAGAAATGTTTGCTGACTGTTAGGTGCTATGCTTTATACCCTGCAGTTGTGTTCCTTCAGTAGGAACTGTTGTCCCTCCCTCAAGTAGTGAGGGGTTTGCTATTTGGGGAGATGGCCAGAATATCTTCCCAGGAATGGGAAGGGCTTCTGATGGACCTTAAGAATGAAAATAAAGTGGCAGTTTTGACATTCTGATGATAGGTACTCCTCCAAGGACCCACAGAAAGTTGTGGGTAGTATGGCCGTGGCAGTGGGACATGGGCAAGGACCAGGATACGAGAAAGTTCTTGTCTCAGGCTGGAGCTTTAAACTTGAGTGTTGGCTTTGCTCTGGGATTAAATTGCTGAATGCATTACTAGCCCTTATCCTTGGGGTTCAGAGACACAGTGCCCCCATGAGCTCCAAAGCATATCTCTAGGAGATTGTTGACATTAGACCCCAATCCCAATGTGGTCTTTGATCCTGACTCCCATCTGAGGCCCTTCCTTCCTTTAGATCCTCACAATCTCCCCACCTCTCTCTCTGTGGGCCCCAGAAATGACCCCATTGAAGACTGGAGTTCCACATTCCGACAAATAGCAGAGCAGATGCAGAAACTGCAAGAGAAACAAGAAACTTTTGTGCTCAATCCTGCAATTGGGGTAGGATCTTCCCCACTCCCACCTAGGGAATGCTTGCCACCTCCCAGATGCCTCTGATTTTGTTACATCTTCTCTAAATTCCTGGCATTGTGTGTCAACTAAAATGTAGTAAAGCAAATCTTGTTTTCCCATTTCCTCATTCACCTTAAGATGTTGTATTTCCATCTTGATCCTGTCTCCTAAATCTGTAATCATTAAACACCTAACCCGTCTGGGGTGGGTTTCCTGTTTGAAGAACCTCTTTTGCATCTGTGAGTAGAGAGTATTGAATGGAATGGTGAATTGCTTTCTGTTTCTCTTACTTTTTAGTTTCAAATACAGGCTTTATTTATTTATTTTTATTTATTTGCGAGAGAGAGAATGAGAGACAGAGAGCATGAGAGGGAGGAGGGTCAGAGGGAGAAGCAGACTCCCTGCCGAGCAGGGAGCCCAAAGTGGGACTCGATCCTGGGACTCCAGGATCATGACCTGAGCTGAAGGCAGTCGCTTAACCAACTGAACCACCCAGGCGCCCTCAAATACAGGCTTTAAAACAATGGGATTCAGTTTCATCTTTCTGCCTTTCTAATCCTCTCCAAAACTGGGTGGGCCTTTCAAGCCTCCGGTGCTCCTACGCCTTTTTCTCTGGGGTGGCGATACGTGGCACTAGGGCATGAGCGTAGTCTACCCTCACTTAGACTTGACAAGGGCCTGAGCCGAATCCCTGCTGCGGGCCCTCTCTGCCAGTGATCAGAGCATCTGAGACATTCTCCTTGCTCTTCCCTCTGTGTGGTAGGAAGGCAGCTACCCCGTGTGAGGTCCCTATCTTTCCACTCTCAGGCGCTCATCTCTCTTCCTGTCTGCAGTTGTTTACTTTTAATCTCCTTTTCCCAGACACCGCTTTGATCATTTTTTTTTTTAAAGATTTTTATTTATTTGTTTAACACAGAGAGAGTACAAGTAGGCAGAGCAGCAGACAGAGGGAGAGGGAGAAGCAGGCTCTCCACCGAGCAGGGAGCCCGATGCGGGGCTCGATCCCAGGACCCTGGGGTCATGACCTGAGCCGAAGGCAGTCGCTTAACAACTGAGCCACCCAGGCGCCCCTTGATCATTCTTTTTGTAGCCATCTCTTTATGCATGGTGTGTCGTGTTACATCCCTATCCATTACAATGGCTGCTTCGTTGGTCTGTCCAAAGGACATGAAATGTGGTGTTCAGATTGACAAACTGCTATTAAAAAAATGGGGTTTGGGTGGGGAGAAACTTCTTGAAAAAAAAAAAAAAACCACCCTCTCCAAAAAACACTTATCTCCTGCTAACGGGACTCCCAATCACTGTGGCTTCCTCCTCAGAGTCCTGAATGTACTGTAGAAATGACCAGAGCTGGCCCTTACCCTCTCTCTTCTCTCAGTGAAGCCCTCAACCCAGCACTCCTCATAGCGCACTAGGCACCCCCAGTCCTGCCGAATGCAGCCCCAGTGGCCTCTAACCAGACTCCATGCCAGGGGCCACTAACTAGACTCTGTGCCAGGGGCCACCAACCAGAGTGCATGCCCAGTGGCCACTAATTAGTGAACTCCAGGATCCTCCTTCCTCTCCCAATTCCTCTCGGGTGTCATCACGTCCTCAGCCCGAGGGCCTCAGTGGCTCATCCTGGATGAAAGGTGGAAGTGCAACCAAGATCCTGCTGGAAACCCTGCTACTGGAGGGTTGTAGGGTCTCCGCTGCTCTCAGCACATTCTCTCCTGTACCGGTAGGGGGGATCTGGACGAGAGAGAGATCAGAGTCAGGCAGGGAAGGGATTGGTACAGGTTGGGGGATGGCAAGTCCAGACGCAGAGACAGGTTAATGGCAGCAAGACGAAGGCCCCACCATGCCTCCCATGGGAAAAGAGCTGGCCTGGGGTTCTTACCACACAGAGTCTCGATTGTTTCCAGTGGACCCTGGATTCCTCAGGTCCCGCTAATCTCTGTGCCCACTTGGGACATCCAAAGCTACCCTAATTTCGGAGAGTCTTTGACTTGGGGATGGTCCAGGTCATGCAGGAAGAGCTCCTTCTGCTGGGGGCCTGCTTCCCTTACTGGGTCTCTGGCCTGGCCCCCCGAATCCCCACTTAACCTCCTCATCTACTCTGATCCCATCCTCCTCCCACCACTCTCTTAATCTCCTTATCCCTCTGTCTGCTCTTTGTGTTCTGCTCACTGAAGCCCTTTCTATTCTCTGTAATGCATTCTGATAATACTCACTGCACCTCCACTAGGGACCAGCAGAACTTAGTTTTAAGGGAATTGTGCCTTCGGCTGGCAGGGGCGGGTACCCATGCTTTCTGAGGAGGCACTGGGCCCACACTGGGAGCTGGCGGCCTTTCTCCCAGGTGCCTTCTGGAAATCCTGCGGACATTTGAGCGGGCTCATCAGGTGACCTATAGTCAAAGCCCTAAGATCACTGCCCTGATGAAGCAAGCCAGCACCAGGTGTGTGGAAATGTGTTTGGAGGGGGGAGGTGGCGTGGATAGGGAATGTGCTGAGAGCAGCGGAGACCCTACAAGACTCATTAACAGGGTGAGGGGTGTGGTCTGTGTGGTGGAGGGGCATGGTAGGCTTCCTGTTGGTTTACACCTGTGCTCTGCCATGTACATCTTTCTCTGATCCCTCGTCTTTTTTCACTGTGATCTCTCCTCTTGTGTCCTGACCTCTGGCCCATTCTCAGCCTGGAGAAAAAAGGCCCAGTGTACCTGATTGGCTGGCAGACCCTCGGCATCATTGCCATCATGGATGGAGTGGAGTGCATCCACACCTTTGGTGCTGGTGGGACCCCAGTCCAGACTTTCTTCCTGGTTCCTCCTGATGCAAATCGATTTCCTCCCCCGCAACCCATGGGGGTTCCTCATTCAATGTCCATCCTGTCTTATTGGAATAGGCATTTCAGTCAAATGCTCCTTCCTTTGAACCCCTATTCAGGCCTTGGTCCCTTAACTCCCAGCCCTGCTTAGCTCTGGCCTCCCATGTGTGTTACACCTCACCCTACACCCCACTTGCCACTTTCCTCCAAGTCCCATTAACATCCCCCCAAGCCTAGAACTTTTCTTTCCTATAAGGCCCATCACTCCTTTCTTCCTGTCCTTAAACTTTCCAGACTTCTGTGATGTCCGTGGCTTTTTCATTGGTGATCACAGTGATATGTTTAACCAGAAGGCTGAGCTCATCAACCAGGTGGGAGGATGACGGGACATGGGGGAGGTTGTGAAGGTGATTGGTGTGCAGAATGGGAGGTAAGGGGAGGTAGAGACAGGTGGGGGAGTGTAACAGGGCAGACAGTTCAGAGAAGGGAATATGGGTTAGAGGTCGGGAGGCTTTGGGGCAGCACAGGGAGGGTGGAAGGCTCTGGATTCACCCTCTAAAGCTGGCTCTGGTCCAGTGCTCTTCCCTTAACTTGCTGCATCATCTTGGGCAAAACACTTTGCCTCCTTGAACCTCAGTTCTTTCATCTGTATACAAACACGCTGTATGAGAGGTCCTGTGAGGCCCTCTGCAGTCTCCGGGGCTCTGTGCTGGAGTTTTTCATGGGGGGGGGATTCCCATCTTCTTGTGCCCAGGGTCCCCAGTTCTCCTTCTCCCAGGAGGACTTCCTGACTTCCATCTTGCCATCCCTCATGGAAATTGACACTGTGGTCTTCATTTTTACCCTGGATGGTGAGAGGGAAGACAGAAGCGGTGGGGTGAGCAGATGGAGGTGGCAGAGTGACTCAGGGGAACTGTCATTTTTCTGGGTCTTAAGGCACCTGCTCTGAGGGAGGGCCAGGGGCACGTGTCCTGACTGGACCCCAGGGGAACAGGAAGAACAGCTGGACAGCCAGCCTTTCATCTCTGGTGCCCTCCCCCTCTCCTAGACAACCTCACGGAGGTGCAGACGCTGGTGGAGCAGGTGAAAGAGAAGACTGCCAACATCCAGGCCCTGGCACATAGCACCGTGGGCCAGGCCCTGCCAGTGAGGGTCCAGCCTTAAGGAGGGAACCTGGGGTGGCAGTTACAGCAAGGCCTTCCTGGAGATACTGCTCTGGCTCATCTTTCTCTCTCTCTTTCCCCAGACCCCTCGAAGAAGCTCTTCCCCTCCATCATCAGCATCATGTGGCCACTGCTTTTCTTCGAATATGAAGGGAACTTCATCCAGGTATGGGGACTAAGAGGATATTATCTGCACTGAGGGACTCAAAGGGGGAGGGGTTCCAGAAATTAGAAAACTCAAGGCTGGAGGTAGAAAGCTTTGTTGGACTTCCAGAAAGCCAGCTGGGCAAGTTCTTGTGTTACCAGGTCACTGGTCAGAGTTTCCAAGGCAATGGCTCAGTTCTATCCCGGAATATGTGCAAAAGACAGGCCAGGCCACCAGTCGTCTGACAGATACTCATTTGTCCTTTGTTACGGGTTCATTGTCGATATTATAGTCATCCTCACTATACAAAACTCTTTAAGGCACATGCTTGCAAATTCACTATGCTGAATTCACTGCAGACAATATTACACTGATATCGTCCGTAATACAGTGAAATTATAATTCCACTAGTTATAATTTATTACAATATGTATTATCATTATAATTTTCAGTAATTATAATTATTATGATATTTATTATAATTATAATTTTCGCTAATTATAATTTCACTAGTGAAGCACTGATAATGTTTGGGCAAAGCATTAACAGTACAAGCACTGATAATAATCATAGAAATAATAATCAATTTGGGTGCACTTCGCAGTTTAGAGTTTAGAGTGGGCATTGGGACATCTGAGTATCAGTTCATCTGTGCTTTGTGGCCCAAGAGAGAAAGCAGTTTTACATCTGTGGTCCTCCGTTTTCTCACTGACACCTGTCCACCATCCACAGGGCGCAACCAGGGCCCCGAAGGGTTGCCCTGGAGAGATGTGGTCTCATCCATTATTCAGATCACCTCTTCCAGGAAGCTTCCTGACTTGACCAGACAACAGCTGCCATGCTTTCTTACCTGCACTAAGAACTCAATGGAAGCTCCCCACCGCCGCCCCCCCGCCCCGAGCCAGGGGATCCTTGCTCCTTCTTTGTGTGTATCTTTGTCTTCCCTTCCAAATGGTGTTCATTGGTCACATCTCTACTTTTTGGCATACTTTCCACATTCGTTGTCTCCTTTGACATCTCACATCTTCTAAGAAGTCTTCTCCAATGAAACTCACAATGTTTAGACCCCTCCTTGATGTGAGATACCTCTCCACACTTCCAGGTTCCACTGTACAGTCATCATACCTAATACACATGTAGGCCTATGCACTTTACAAACTATTTCATTTATAATAATCATTTCTCATAACGAGCTCCTAAGGGATGTAGGTTTTGTCCCCCATCTCAGATAAGGAAGCTGAAACTAAGAGATTAAGGGATTGTAATCATAGCCACATGGCTAAAGCGGAGTCAAGACTCAAACCCTGGCCTTGTGACTCGAAGCTCATGGTTTATTTCACTTCACAATATAAATTTCAACCATATCCATGAATTGAGTCAGATTCTTTTACTCATTCCTTCAACAAATATTTTTTATGCACCTATCACATGCCAGGTACTATTCCAGGGATAGGGGATATGGTAGGGAATCTTAAGCTGTGATTTTTTTTTTTTAAAGATTTTATTTATTTATTTGAGAGAGAGAGATTGAGAGAACGAGTGGGGGGAGGGGCAGAGGGAGAAGCAGACTCCCTGCAGACATGGGACTCGATTCCAGGACCCTGGGATGGTGACCTGAGCCCTTTAACCGACTGACACACCCAGGCACCCTAACCTGTGATCTTTTGAAAAAGATCTGTTTTTAAGGAAAATTGTAATTATAATAGCAACATTTTTGTTGTAAACACTTCAGAAAATACAGAAATCAAAAGAAGGAAAAAAGTATCCATAACAACCTTCTTCCAAAAAACCACTTAGACAAATTTTGGAGAATGTCCCTCTAGCCTTTTTTATGCATACGTAAATATATTTATACAAAAACAGGACCATATTTGACATGCTGTTTTTAACTTGCTTCTCTTCATTGAAAATTATGAACACATTTCTGTACAAATATATCCATACCATCATTTTTTCTTTAGATTTTTTATTTATTTGAGAGAGAGAGCATGAGAGAGAGGGGGGTCAGAGGGAGAAGCAGACTCCCTGCTGAGCAGGGAGCCCGACGTGGGACTTGATCCTGGGACTCCAGGATTATGACCTGAGTGGAAGGCAGATGCTTAACCAACTGAGCCACCCAGGCGCCCGACATCATCATTTTTTTAAAGATTTTTATTTATGGTTTTGAGAGAGAGAGAGCATGAGTAGGGGGAGAGGGAGGGGCCGAGGGAGAGGGAGAAGCAGACTCCCTGCTGAACGCAGAGCCCAACGCAGGTGCTTGATCCCAGGACCTGAGATCATGACCTGAACTGAAGTCAAACACTTAACTGAGCCACCCAGGTGCCCCTAATTCAAATTGCTTTGATAACTATGGAGATTGGCCACCTAAAGATATATATTGGGTATTGCACTTTTTTTCTTTATTGTGTTACTTTTTCATACCTTTTGAGCATATTTACCCATTCTTTTGAGCATATTTATTTTTTTCTTATTAATTTATAAGAGGGAGTGTTTATAGCAAGGACAGTAGCCTTTTTTTTCTTGTTCTGTATTTTCCTCCAGTTTATTACTGTTTTTTCTACGTTTTTGATGTAGAGATGTTTTATTTACATTTTTACATAGTCACATCTATCAGTCTTTTTTTGGTGTGTATGGCTTCTGTCTTATGCTTGATTCTGGTTTGTATCTTTCTAAATACATGGCAATTGTTTGAAATAAAGAGGCTTCCATTAGTAAATCTTCAGTTGCAGAAATATTTTTGATGTAAACTCCTCCCACACTTGTATTTTGAAAAATTTTCCACCCTACAGAAAAATTGCAAGAACAGTGAACACCCATACACCAATTTTTAAAAAGATTTTATTTATTTATTTGAGAGAGAGAGAGCTAGGTTCACCAGCCTTTAACATTTGGCCACATCTGCTTCATCCCTCTTTTCCTCTGAATTATTTGAAAGATACTTGGAGATATGATGACACTTGACACAAATTACTGTGTCCCCTAAGAACAAGGACATTTGCCTACATAACCACAATATAATTATCACACTCAGGAAAAATGACAGTGAATACAATTATCAAATCTGCAGACCATATTAAAATTTCCCCAATTATCCCTGTATTATTTTTATTTCCAGGTCCAGGATCCAATCAGAGATAATGCATTGCACTTAGTTATCAGGTCTCTTTAGTTTCTTTCCTTATTTTTTTTTTTTTTTTAAGATTTTGTTTATTTATTTGACAGAGAGAGACACAGTGAGAGAGGGATCACAAGCAGGGGGAGTGGGAGAGGGAGAAGCAGGCTTCCCCCTGAGCAGGGAGTCCGATGCAGGGCTCGATCCCAGGACCCTGGATCATGACCTGAGCTGAAGGCAGACGCTTAACGACTGAGCCACGCAGGCGCCCCTAGTCTCTTTAATCTAGATGAATTCTTTAGCTGTTTTTTTGTGTCTTTTATGACACTGATAGTATAGGAGTCTGGACCAATTGTTTTCCAGAATATGCTTCACCTTGGATTTGCCTGATTGTTTCTTCATTCTATTCAGGTGAAGTCTTTTGGCAAGAGTACTGCATAGAGGAGACTGTGGCTTTGCCAGTGTATCAGATTAGGAGGTGCCTGATGTCAGGTCATTTCTTTATTGGTGATGTTTGATCACTTACTCAAGGTAGTGTCAGATTTCTTTTTTTTTAGGATTTTATTTATTTATTTATTTGAGAGAAACAGAGAGAGAACATGAGTGATGGGGGAGGGGCAGAGGGAGAGGGAGAAGCAGACTCCCCACTGAGCAGGGAGCCAGCCGGGGGACTCCATCCCGGGAGCCGGAGATCATGACCAGAGCTGAGGGTAGAAGCTTAATGGACTGAGCCACCCAGGCGCCCTGGTAGAGTCCGATTTCTTTGCATCCTATTCCTTAGTGATCTTTCACCCAATGGTTTTAGCATCCACAGATGATTCTTGGTTGAATCAATTTATTACTATGGCGGTTTTTTAATGGTGATTTTCTATTTCTATCTTTTTGTCTACATTTATTAGTTGGTATTCTTCTGTAAAGAAAATCTCTCCCTTCTCTCCCCACCCTATCTACATATATTTAGACTCAGTATGGACTCATGAATTTTTTGTTGTTAAGCGTGTTTTAATCCATCCCTGTCATTATTGATTTTAATACTCAAAATGAGCTCTTATTCAGGCTGGCCCTTTTGTCCTTGTGACATATCCACATTAGTGTTTAACCATTCTTTGCTGTGTGTCTTTTTGGGAAAAAAAATAAATCACCTTTTCTCTTATGCAAAAGGGTAGCATATTATAGTCTTTGTGCCTTGCGTTTTTTAACAAGATATCTTGAAAATCACTCCACTTCAGTTTCTAAATCTCGTGATTACTATTTACCTGTGTGTGTGTATAGATGTGCATCTGTACAATAGCATCCCCAGCTGTCTATGTAGGAGAACAGAAATGTTGTCCCAGGTTCACCTCGTACTTTCCCTGGTTCCAGTCCTGGCTGGAATCAGTAATTTTCAAGGAGCCCCCGTGGTTGTCAGTGGGGATTGGTACAGCAGTCCTGCCTTCTCCACGTTTGCTTTCCACGGTTTCATTTACCCCAATCAACTGTAGTCCAAAGGGTCAGTAGTAGCCTAACGCTACGTCACACTGCCTATGTCATTCCTGTCCCTCCATCTCATCCAGTGGCCATTTTGTCATCTCACATCGTCACCAGAAGGGGAATGGTGAATATAGTAAAAGAAGATATTTTGAGAGACCACAGTCACATAACTTTTATTATAGTATGTTCTTATAATTGTTCTATTTTATTGTTGTTGCTGTTCATCTCTTACTGTGCCTAATGCATAAAATAATCTTTATCATAGGTATGTATATATAGGAAAAAAACAGTATGTGTATGGCTCGGTACTGTGCAGTGTCGGGCATCCCCTGGGGGTCTGGAACTCATCCCGTGGGTAAGTGGGGACTGCTGTATTTAAAAAGCTAGGTGTAGGGGCGCTTCTGGTGGCTTTGCCTCTAAGCAAAGTTCTTTGGTAGAAAGAACAAGTAAATACAGGGGCACCTGGGTGGCTCAATCGGCTAAATGTCGGACTCTTGATTTCCGTTCAGGTCATGACCTCAGGGTCATGAGATTGAGCCCCACATCCGGCTCTGTGCTCAGGGTGGAGTCTGAGATTCTTTTTTTTTTTTTTTAAAGATTTTATTTATTTATTTGACACAGAGAGACACAGCGAGAGAGGGAACATAAGCAGGGGGAGTGGGAGAGGGAGAAGCAGGCCTCCCGCGGAGCAGGGAGCCCAATGCGGGGCTCGATCCCAGGACCTTGGGATCATGACCTGAGCCGAAGGCAGACGCTTAACGACTGAGCCACCCAGGCGCCCGGAGTCTGAGATTCTTCTCCCTCTGCTCCTCTCCCTGTTTGCGTGTGCACTGTCTCTGTCTCCAAAAAAAAAAAAAAAAAAAAGAATGAGGAAATATAGTTGACCTTGAAAAACACGGGGATTAGAAGCACTGGCATCCCACACAGTTGAAAATCCCCCTATAACTTTTGACTCCCCAAACTTAACTAATAGCTTACTGTGGACCACAAGCCTTCCCGATAACAGTCAATACATATTTTTAAAGTTCTTTGTATTATAGGCTGTATCCTTACAATAAAATAAGCTAGAGAAAAGAAAATGTTAAATCATACAGAAAATTCATTTATAGTACCACACTGTATTTATTGAAAAAATCTGCCTATAAGTGGACCTGTGTAGTTCAAACCCTTGTTGTTCAAGGGTCAACTGTGTATTTTTTTCACATAAGTACATATATACACATTTATGAATGTATATATGTTCTCCTTCCTGTTTTCCCTTAGTGAGAATGTTGATTTCCAACATCATCAATATATTTATCCATTTGCTTAGTCCTGCAATAAATACTGGTTTTGAAATTGCTACCCTAAAACACTATCATCAACAAACTTACCAAGAATGGTCAAGATTTCTTTGCAGTTCTTTTTGTCTTCTGACCATATCCCACGAAAGGTACCTAAAGTGTCAAAAGTCACTTGCATTAAATTTTTTCCTCTCTCTCTGTAGTTATGTTATCAGTATGATATATAGTTAGTTTCATTTGCTTTGTTTTTATTTTTTTTCCATTTTAGAAGTTTTTTTAAGATTTTATTTATTTGTCAGAGAGAGAGGGAGAGCACAAGCAGGAGGGGCAGCAGACAGAGGGAGAGGGAGAAGCAGGGTCCCCGCTGAGCATGGAGCCTGATGTGGGACTCAATCTCAGGACCCTGGGATCATGACCTGAACCGAAGGCAGACACTTAACTGACTAAGCCACCCAGGTGTCCCTGAGTTTTTTGTTTTTGATCTCACTTTATCTTTTGAATATGTAAAACATAACGTGGTTTAAAGTCAAACTGTAGGGGTGCCTGGGTGGCTCAGTTGTTAAGCGTCTGCCTTCGGCTCAGGTCATGATCCCAGGGTCCTGGGATCGAGCCCCTCATTGGGCTCCCTGCTCTGCGGGAAGCCTGCTTCTCCCTCTTCCAGTCCCCCTGCTTGTGTTCCCTCTCTCGCTGTGTCTCTATCAAATAAATAAATAAAATCTTTAAAAAAATTAAAAAAAATAAAGTCAAACTGTATAAAAAGGAGATGTCCCACCCCCTTCACTCTTCCTTCCTCCTGTCTCCACTCATCCCTACAGGTAAACAATTTCATTAGTTACTGACGTGCCTTCCTGTGGTTCTTTTTGCAAAAAAAGTGTGTTTGTATGTACTTTGCAATTTTTTCTTATACAAGAGGCACTGTGCTATGTATATTCTTTTGTACTTTAATGAGATATCCTGAAAATAACTCCACTTGGGTTTATAAAACCCTTCCTCATTATTTTTTACATTTGTGTGTAAATTGTACATGTGCAAGAATTACTTGGGCAGTCTCTGATGTAGGACATTTGGTTGTTTCCAATATTTTGCTATTACCAATAATGATGCAATGAATATGCATGTATTTTTGTAATGTAGAAGTGTATCTTTGGCGTAAACTAGAAGAATGAGACCTGGGTCAAAGGATAAATACATATGTAATTTTGTTAGATACTGCAACATTTCTCTTCATAGGGATTGTCCCATTTTGCTTTTTTTTTTTTTTTTTTAAAGATTATTTATTTATTTATTTGACAGAGAGAGACGCAATGAGAGAGGGAACACAAGCAGGGGGAGTGGGAGAGGGAGAAGCAGTCTTCCCGCGGAGCAGGGAGCCCGATGCGGGGCTCGATTCCAGCACCCTGGGATCATGACCTGAGCCGAAGGCAGATGCTTGACGACTGAGCCATCCAGGCGCCCCTTCCCTATAGCCTCTTTAAGAGCATTCTCAGGCTTTTGGATTTGTGCCAATGTGATAGATGAGAAATTCTATTTCTGTGTGGTTTTCATTTGTATTTTACTTATTATGTGTTTAATTGAGCCTCTTTTCACATGCTTAAGGGTCTTTAGTAAATCTTTTTGTGAATTGTGTGTTCATGTAAATACATGAAATATACTCATTTTCTAATGGTATTGGGGTCTGTATGATCCCTTGATTTTTAGTACTTTATTTTTTTTTTTTTAAGATTTTATTTATTTATTTGAGACAGAGAGAATGAGAGACAGAGAGCATGAGAGGGAGGAGGGTCAGAGGGAGAAGCAGACTCCCTGCCAAGCAGGGAGCCCGATGCGGGACTCGATCCCGGGACTCGATCCCGGGACTCCAGGATCATGACCTGAGCCGAAGGCAGTCGCTTAACCAACTGAGCCACCCAGGCGCCCTAGTACTTTATTTTTATTTAAAGATATTATTTATTTGAGAGAGAGAGAGCACAAGCAGGGGGAGCGACATGCAGAGGGAGAGGGAGAAGCAGGCTCCCTGCTGAATAGAGAGCCTGATGTGGACTCGATCCCAGGACCCTGGGATCATGACCTGAGCCGAAGGCAGACACTTAACTGACTGAGCCACCCAGGTGCCCCTGATTTTTAGCACTTTATAAATCAGAGGCATTAGTCCTTTCTTTCTGATATGTATTGTAAATATTTCATTTGGGTTTTAACCATGCAAATGTCTTTGTTTTAATTTTTCTGGGGTAGAACTTATTAATCCATTTTTTGTTGAATCTGGACCTTGAGGCACAGAAAGCTCTCTGCTACTCCCAGGTTGTAAAGGAACTCCACCTGTGCTTTCTTCTAGTAAAAATGGTTTCTTTTTTCTTTCTTTTTTAAAAAACACTTAGACCTGCAATTCATTAATTGATTCTTGTGTATGGGTTAAGGTATGAATCCACTTTTATTTTTTTCTAAGTGACTGTCTCTCTCCATATATATAATATATATTTATAATTTATTTATTTGAGAGAGAGTGAGCGAGAGAGAAAAGGAGCAGGGGTGGGGGTAGAAGCAGACTCCCCATTGAGCAGGGAGCCCCATGTGGGGCTCCATCCCTGGACCCTGAGATCATGACCTGAGCCAAAGGCAGACATTAACTGACTGAGCCACCCAGATGCTCCATCTCAATATATTTTTTAAATTCATCTTTTCCTGAGTGATTTGAGATGCTACTTCTATCAGATACTTAGTTCCCATGTGCACTGGTTTATTTATGGACTTTCTGTTCTGTTCTACCAGTCTGTCTATTGATGTGATGATGCCATACAGTTTAAATATAGAGGCTTATTGTGTTCTTAATATCTGAAAGGTTAGTGCTTCTCTCACTTTTTTTTTTTAAGATTTTATTTATTTATTTGACAGAGAGACAGATAGTGAGAGCAGGAACACAAGCAGGGGCAGTGGGAGAGGGAGAAGCAGGCTCTCCGTTGAGCAGGGATCCTGATGCGGGACTCGATCCCAGGACCCTGGGATCATGACCTGAGCCGAAGGCAGACGCTTAACAACTGAGCTCCCCAGGCGCCCCTCTCACTCATCTTTTTAAGGATTTTTCTAGGTACATTTGCTGCCTTTTTTCTATATGTACTTTAAAATGAATGTGTCTGGATTCAAATTATGTACACTTTAATATATTTTTGTGTTAATGAGAGCTCATGGTATACATGGTAATATAATGGTCAGTGACATAAATGATATAACCCGGAGTTGATTGATCTCTTTCCCACAGGGCAGTCTGTGTACTGCATACTAGCTAGCTCCATTCTGATTGGTCAGATTTCTGCGTGTGCGCTCTCTCTCTTTTTTTTTTTTTTTGGCCAAATGAGCCACAGTATCTTTTTTTTTCCCCCAGTTTTTATTTAAATTCCTGTTAGTTAACACACAGTGTAATGTTAGTTTCAGGTGTACAATATAGTGATTCAACACTTCCATACAACACCCGGTGCTCATCACAACAGGTGCACTCCTTAAGCCCCATCACCTGCTTCACCCATCCCCCACCCACCTACCTTCCCTCTGGTAACCATTGTTCTCTATAGTTAAGAGTCTGTTTCTGGCTTGCCTCTCTCTCTCTCTTTCCCCCCCTTTATTTTGTTTCTTAAATTCCACATATGAGTGAAATCATATGGCATTTGTCTTTCCCTGACTGACTTATTTCACTTAGCATAATAATCTCTAGCTCCATCCACATCATTGCAAATGTTCTTATACAGTACTCATGTCCCTGTCAATCACTTGTTAAGTATTTTCAATATACCCTCTGCAAAGGGTGTGTGTGACCCGCTATTTCTAGGATGCCAGAATAAGAGGGTAGAAGTAGTGGTAGCTTGTTCCCTAGCCTGGCTAGGACCCAGTAATTAATCCTCTCAATTCTTTTTCTGGACTCCGGTTATAGTAATAGATGCAAAGTGCAGTAATGGAGGTTATAAGTGCAAGAGATGAGGGCCAAGGACAGGTGGTGTTTATACTCACAGTACTATGTGTTTATACAGTGTTTTAGTTTTCAGTGTGCTTTCCCATACATTATCTTATTCACCTAGGAGATGATTGTGGCCAAGTAGGAAATGCCTTCATCACAAATCAGAAGACCTGGGTTTAGGTCCTGAGAGAGAAAGAGAGACTACAAGTGGTGGGAGGGGCAGAGGGAGGAGGAGAGAAAGAATCTCCAGCAGACCCCCAATGCAGGGGTCGATCTCATGACTCTGAGATCATGACCTGAGCCGAAATCAAGAGTCAGACGCTTAACTCACTGAGCCACCCAGTTGCCCCTCACGTTACTTTACTTTTGACCTCTAGTTTCCACATATGTAGAAATGGGGATAGAAAATCCGATTTCGTTGGGTTGTTATAGGTTTAAATTGAATTAGTTTTCAACAACTGTGTATTGATCGTATCCATGTATCAGCCATTATCAAAAAGATTGGGGCTCTGGAGCAGAATAAGACACCATCTCTGCTCTCAAGGAGCCTTTGGTTTAGTGGAATGAATCCCAGGATCTTCACTCCTCCCCTGTCACGTACCTGGGGAGCAAAAGGAAAGTTCTGATAAGTGCAAAACCCTTTTGCGCAAGAACTCAGAGAAGAGGGTGCCTGGGTGGCTCAGTCGTTAAGCGTCTGCCTTCGGCTCGGGTCACGATCCCGGTGTCCTGGGATCAAGCCCCGCATCGGGCTCCCTGTTCGGCAGGGAACCTGCTTCTCCTTCTCCCACTCCCCCTGCTTGTGTTCCCTCTCTCACTGTCTCTTTCTCTGTCAAATAAATAAATAAAATCTTAAAAAAAAAAAAAAAAGAACTCAGAGAAGATATCTGTGTACTGGGGGGTCAAAACCACAAATGTGTGACACCACTAAGTTTGCCTGGGACAGTCCTGGTTTACAACTACTGTCCTGACGTCTAACTCTGGGCTGGTCAAACAAATTATGTCTATATTTTGGTCCCTGGTTTTTGATCCCTGGATTCCTGTCTGACAATAGGGCCCTATTCACCCTATTGCTCTACCATCCTCTAATTTCCCATACCCTTGTGTGTGTGCCCTGTTTAGAGGCTCCAGCATGAGCTAAGCACCAAGTGGGTGCTGAATACTGTGAACACAGGGGCCCATGTGCTTCTTGGGAAGATTCTCCAAAACCACATGTTGGACCTCTGCATTCGCAACTCCAAGTTCTTCTGGCGGGCGCTGGCCATGCTGCAGGTAGGCTGTGATGGGATGTGGCTGGGTGGGGCCTGGCCCCCTGCCTAGGCTGCCACAGAGATATGGACACGTGTGGGGCCAAGGGCTGACTTTACTCCTGCGCTGCCTCCTCCTCCTATCAGGCTCATCCACCCCTCTGGGGAATGTATGTGCATGCTTGGGGGCATGACTGTGTGATGATAACTATCAGACAAGATTCTTTCAGTTACAAGTATGTGACAGACCTCTAATTCATACCAGTTTAAGCTAAACAAGGCAAATGACTGGTTCACGTAACTGGAGTTCCAGGGTAGCTCGATCCAGATACTCCAAACAATGTGCTCCAGGATGTCAGCCCTTAACTCTCCTTTGTGTTGCTCTCCTTCTCAGGAAGCTTTTCTCCAGTAGGTGGCAAATTGGCCCCGGGCAGTGCCAGCCTAGCATCCTACCAATTTAGCAACCCGAGTGGAAGGAGAGTTTATCTGTGCCTGTGATTCCCACGAATGCCTGGGAGGAAGGGCTCTCGCTGGCTTGTCTTGGGTCACATGCCATCTCTGAGCCAGTCACTGCTCCAGGGGAAGGCAGCCCTCTGCCCAGGCCTGGCTCATGTGCTCTCCCTAGGGGATGGCACTGGAGGAAAGGGTGGGAAGTGAGCCTCGGTCAAACAGCCTGGCCTGAGAATGGAGGAACCATAGTTCCCTGGAGGAAGATCAAGGTGCTGGTACTAGAAGGGGGAGGAAGATCAAGGTGCTGGTACTAGAAGGGGGAGGAAGATCAAGGTGCTGGTACTAGAAGGGGGAGGAAGATCAAGGTGCTGGTACTAGAAGGGGGAGGAAGATCAAGGTGCTGGTACTAGAAGGGGGAGGAAGATCAAGGTGCTGGTACTAGAAGGGGGAGGAAGATCAAGGTGCTGGTACTAGAAGGGGGAGGAAGATCAAGGTGCTGGTACTAGAAGGGGGAGGAATGGCCGCCGAGCAGATAGCACAATAGCTGGTCATGAAAGGAGAGTTGTTAAGTTTAGCAAACAAAAATACAGGACAAATTTGAATTTCAGATAAATAAAGGATTTTTTTTTTAGTATAAGTATGTCCCATGCAATATTTGAAGCATACTTATACTATTTTTCTCATTATTCATTTGAAATTCCTATTCCTGGGTATCCTGTATTTTTATTTGCTAAATCTGACAACCCTGTGTGAAGGGAATCAATGAGCATTTAGTGAGCACCCACCAAGTCCCTAGAACCTTCTCTAATGAATAGAACCAACCAACCAGGAAAAGAAAAGTGCTTTATGCTCTTTTAGATCCTGGGGTTGGGGTGGGTAGGGGGAATCGGAGATATGTCTGATCCAGGACTTGGCATCCCAGAGTGGCCCCTCTAAGGATTACATGGAAGATTGAAAGCCAGACCAGAACTGGGGCTTGCCAAATGTAGCTAGACCTGGGCCATCCAAAATGGCAGTCACCACCCACATGTGGCTACTGAGCACTGGAAATGTGGCTAGTGTGTCTGAGGAGCTGAACTTTTATGTTTTGTTTAAAAACTGAAGCAGTGTAATTTTTTTCATTAAATGCAACTTTATTGTTTTGGTAGAACTACATTTTACTTTTACCTCAAAATTCAGTACCTGAACTGAGATGTGCTGGGATTTTAAACTAGACACTAGATTTCAAAGACATGATACAAAAATATTGTAGAATACCCTATTAATAATTTGTAATATTGTTTATATGTTGGAATAATATTTTAGACATATATATTGGATTAGATAAAACATGATTAAAATCTATTTTCTTATTTGCTTCTTTTGCATTCCATGTGTTTCTTTTTTAATGCAGTACTAGAAAATCTTTTTTTTTTTTTTAAAGATTTTATTTATTTATTTGACAGAGAGAGACACAGCGAGAGAGGGAACACAAGCAGGGGGAGTGGTAGAGGGAGAAGCAGGCTTCCCACGGAGCAGGGAGCCCGATGTGGGGCTCAATCTAAGGACCCTGGGATCATGACCTGAGCCGAAGGCAGACGCTTAACGTCTGAGCCACCCAGGCACCCCAGTACTAGAAAATCTTAAATTACATATGTGGCTCACATTATATTTCTCTTGGGCAGTGCTGAGCTAGTGGGGGGGGGGGGCGGGTGACAAAAAGGAGCAGCTTTTGCAGATGAGCAGTCTTGGCAGGGTATGAAGGATGGATAGGGTTAAGGAGGAAACTGGAAGGAGTGAGTTCAGTTTAAGGTTACCAACCTATGGGGTTGGTGGCACATGGCCGAAAGTGTGACCAAGTTGCCATTAATCCTCCAGTTTAACCCGGCCCATCAAAGCCCACCACTAACCCTTGTTCTTCACACCTGGGGATTGTGAGTTTGGGATCGCCTATAGGGACCACTTCTCTACAGCCTCTCTGGCCCGTCTTCGGGATCCCAGGTGCCTGCCTCCCACTCTCCCACTCCTTTCTCCTCTTCGATTTCATTCTCTGCTCCCCCGGCCTTCTAGCCCGACACTGACCTTCCTGCTTCCTCCACAGCGGTTCTCTGGACAGCCCAAGGCTCGATGCATCGAGACCCTCCTCCAGGTGATCCACTTCCCCCAGCCACTGTCGGATGACATTTGGACTGCTCCCATCTCCTTCCACATCCAGGTTGCACACGAGAAGGAAGAGGTATCCCACCGGCAGCTAACATTCATTGAGTCCTTTCAGCGTATCAGGAATTTTGCTTGATACTGTGTTTACAAAGTTAGTGATGTTCTGCCAAGGAGCTCCCTGTTTCTTGGGGAATTGTGATTGTGACAAGGAGGCACAGAGGTGTGGAATGGATATGGTGCATGGTCAGATTTCCCCAAGGCTGGATAAAGGAGAACTCTAGAAGTCCAGAGGGTGTTTTGTTTTGTTGCCAAGTACTTGGCTGGTACAGTGATGTCAAGTCAATTCAACTCTTGTTCAGTTGTGTATGATGTTCAGGTGTAATGAACTAGGTGGAGAAGCAGCTGGATACATTCTGGCATTATGGAGGAGATAAAGATGGCTAAGGTCTGATCCCCACCCCCTAGGAATTCACAAGCACATACGAACAATTCCAATACAAGACAGAGAGAGTTGAAATGGATTAGAACAGCAGGCTGGGTACAGAGAGCTGCCAGAATTATTTGGGGGAGATTACAGGGTAGGCCAAGAATCAAGGAAAATTTTGGAAGAAAGGAGGTTGGGGTGGGTGAGGGAACATCCAAAGAAAATCTGGGGATGTTTGGATACTTGTACTGATGTGTGGTTCCAACATCAGAGAGTTAGGTCATTGTCAATGGAACCTGACCTCTAGGTTGAGCTAAAATGGTTCAAAGATTTTTTAGAATTATCCAGAGACAAATGGCAGGGTGACAATGTTTACCGTTATTTTGGAGAAAGCAAACTTCTGAGGGTAAGAAAGCTGTAATCTATTATCAACACAGGCACTAATTCTGCTGAAATGATGAAAGGATCTATCCCAGAAGACTGGATTGGATTGTGGAAGGTGAAGGAAACAATTCTGCTACACTCATTTGCTCGATCAAAAATAAGAGGTGAAGGGTGGAAGATATTTGGATATTGCATATACTTCAAACTTAATATATTAAAAACCGGAACCCAGGATCTCTCCTCCAAATCAGCTGTTCTTTTCATAACTTAGGTGGTCTTAAATATTAGACAGGCTGGGGCCAGTCACCTGGGATAGTAAGACTGAAGGAAGATGTTGGGACCAGGTAGGAGATCAAAGGGCCCCAATCTGGCTCCAGGGATGGGCCTTAAAGCACAGCAAAATGTCTAAGATCCAATCCAGATTCAGCTATGGATTGGACAGGTGGGTCAAATCCTAGGCACTGAATTTAGGCGGTGTGAAATGCTTCCATCCTGGAAAAGAGAAGATTTGGGCTTACCTATAAGCTAGTGGCTGGGGTGCTCTGGCATGGGAGGAAGAGACAGGAAGGGGAGCCAGAAGGATCTTGTAATGCCAGGAAGTACAGAAGCGCCCATAAAAACAAAAGGATTGGGTCATAGCAAAGGGATAGGAGTCAACCTAAGAGAGCTCCCAATGGCCAAAGTTGGAACAACATGAGCAACAAAATAAATAATGTTGTATTGGACTATAACACAGAGTACTAGATAAGTAGGCATGAGTTCATGCTGATATAACAAAATAATGGAATAAATAAATAGGAGTTACACAGAATTCCAAATAATATATGTAGATACAGCCCACTCCAAGAGATGGAGCTTAACAACCCCTCACTTCTTCCAACCCCAACATGGGCTACACTTAGGGGCTTGCTTCCAAAGAACAGAGTATGGAAAGAGAAAAATAATGGCTTCACCGTGGAGAAACCTGGCTACCTTAGCCAAGTAATGAAGATTGGCAACACGGGCTGCTATCATTACTGAGTAAGATCAGTAATGAGAAGCGCAGGGCGCCTCTGTGGTATTTTCCCCAAAACACATAACCTCGGTCTAAGCGTACGGAAAACAGAGAAACCCAAATTTAAGAACCTGCCAGTACTCCTAAAAACTGTCAAGGTCAGAGAAACTCTCACAGACCAGAGGAGACTAAGGGGGCATGACAACCAAATCCAACGTGGGCCCTAGGTTGGATCCGGGACAGAAAAAGGACGTTAGTGGAAAAACTAGTGAAATCTGAATGAAGTTTGGCATTCAGTTCAAAGTAAATGTACCAGGGTGTCTGGGTGGCTCAGCTGTTAAGCGTCTGCCTTTGGCTCAGGTCATGATCCCCGGGGTCCCGGGATCGAGCCCCACGGGGGGGCTCTCTGCTCAGCGGGAAGCCTGCTTCTTCCTCTCCCTCTCCCCCTGCTTGTATTCCCTCTCTCGCTGTCTCTCTCTCTGCCAAATAAATAAATAAAATCTTTAAAAAACAAAAGCAAACAAAAAACAAAGTAAATGTACCAATGTTAATCACATAGATTTGACACATGAACCAAAGTTATATAAGATGTCAACATTGGGTGAAACTGGGTGAAGGGCATATGGGGAACTCACTGTGCTATCTTTGCAACTTTTCTGTAAGTCTAAAATTATTCCCAAATAGAGTTTATTAAGAAAATAAATTCCATGGGACACCTGGGTGGCTTAGTCGGTTGAGTGTCTGCCTTGGACTCTGGTCGTGGTCCAAGGGTCCTTGCTCAGGGGGGAGTCTGCTTCTCTCTCTCTGCCTGCCACTCCCCCTGCTTGTGCTCTCTCTCTTCCTCTCTCCCTCCCTCTTTCTCTCTGACAAATGAATAGATAAAATCTTAAAAAAAAAAAAAAAGAAAAGAAAAGAAAATTCCTGACTATAGTAACCTATATGTGGGAAGGGGCATATATAATTAAAATATTCTGAGGGCCTTGATTTATCATGAATACGAGGATAGAGGTTTTATTTAAGAATTTGATAGGTTAAATGTGTATTTTGCATTTTAAAGGGCATCCACTAAAAATGGGGTTGGCTAGAGAGTAAATATGTTAGCCATTGTAAACCCCCTATGGTTTTTGTTGTTAACTACCTACTGTTGTAGCTTGAAAGCAGAGACAATATGTAAAATGAGTGTGGCTGTGTTCCAATAAATCTTTATTTACAAAAACAGGCATCAGGCTAGTTTGACCCACAGGCCATAGTTTGTCAACCCTTGCAGTAAAAGAACAAAAACAGAATTTAACTTCCAAATAGTAAAGGAAAAGATGGAGTAATTAATTAAAAATAGCTATCTAACTAAAAGGCAAGAAATGAGAGAAAAAGAAATATAAAACAGGATGAAATAGAAAGTGCCAAGTAAAAGGGTAATTTTGATCTTAATGCTTCAATAACTACATTAAATATAATGGAAAGTGTAACAGAACTGGAAATGGAGCACATGCTGATCGGGGTGGGAGAGTCTGTGTTATGTGAATGGAGGTCTCGGTTCTTGGATTCCCCACGAAAGATTTCCATGAGGATCCATGCTCTAATAAAGACAGTTGGGGTTAGGGGGGGATGGGCTAACTGGGGGATGGGCATTAAGGAGGGCACGTGATATAATGAGCACTGGGTGTTATATGGAATTGATGAATCACTGAACTCTACCCTGAAACTAATAATACACTATATGTTAACTAACTTGAATTTAAATTAAAAAAAAAAAGAGAAGAAAGTAGCAAGCCCAAAGCAGTTTATTGAGGACAGTACACTCTCCAGGTGGGAGAGCAGGAAGGCCCAGAGGTGGCAACTGCCCTGAGGCTACAGGAATCTTCTTCTGTGTGTGTGAGCGGGTGGGAGGGTGTCTTGAGTCGTGGATGGGATGGTCTCTAATGGAGGCTGCTTCCAATCCTTTAAGGGACTCCCATAGGTTGGGAGAGGTTAGTTTTTTTTTTTTTTAAGATTTTATTTATTTACTTGACAGAGAGAGACACAGCAAGAGAGGGAACACAAGCAGGGGGAGTGGGAGAGGGAGAAGCAGGCTTCCCGCGGGGCGGGAGCCCGACACGGGGCTCGATCCCAGGACCTGGGGATCATGACCTGAGCCAAAGACAGACGCTTAATGACTGAGCCACCCAGGTGCCCCGGGAGAGGTTAGTTTTTGACCCTATTAGGTTTGTCTCTGAACCGTCAGGGCAGTCTTCCCCCATGGAGGGTAGGGGGAGGCTAAAGCCACAATGCAAACACATTATAATGAGTCTAGGGGTTACCCTGGGGCAGAGGTGGAAGAGGAGAGTGGCCTGTTCTGCACATGTGGCTCTTGGTCTGTTAGCCTAGGGGACTTGGAAGCCACAAAGGCAAGATGTTGTGCCCCCAGGCTTCTAATGTGTAACCTATTTATCACTGTCCTTGCCTCCAGCTTCTGTCCAGCTGCCTACTCTTATCAGTGCTCCAATTAAAATCTATTTGTTTTAGATGTGTCTCTTACCAATAGCATATATTTAGATTTTTTTTATTTATCCAATATTAAAAAAATATAGAAAGGTTGGAAGAATGGGAAAAGATACACTATGCAAGTACCAACCAAAAGAAAATTGCTTTAGCAATATTAGTATCAGACAAAAGAACTAAAGTCCAGTAGTATTGTTAGAGATAAAGAGGGTCTTCATAGTGATACAAGATTTAATTCACCAGGAATAATGATTTTAAATAACACTTAAAAATACATAAAGCAAAAATCTTCAGTATTCAAAGAAGAAATGAATCCACAATCACGAGAAATTTTACATACTTGTCTTAGTAATTGGTGGAAAAAAAGCAGACGAAAGTTTAGGAATAATATAGATTTGAACATTGAGATGAGCAGAATTGACCTAATGGTCATAGAGACATCCGCACCCCCCGCCTCCGCCGCCCAGCAGAAGGGGAAATTCTGAAGAGACTTTTTTTTTTAAAGATTTATTTATTTATTTGAGAGAGAGAGAGAGAGTGTGAGCGCATGCAGGGGGAGAGGCAGAGGCAGAGGGAGAGAGAGAATCCCAAGCGGACTCCTGGCTAAGGGCGGAGCGCAATGCAGGGCTCCATCCCAGGACCCTGAGATCCTGACCTGAGCCAAAATCAGAAGTCCAGCGCTTAACTGACTGAGCCACCCAGGGCCCCCCTGAAGAGACTATTTTTAACACCTGCAGAATACATCTTATTTTTTAAGCACACAAAGAATTTTTTTAACTGACCATAAACTGGGAATAAAGTCTTAGAGCATTTCAAAGGACTGAAATTAAAGTATATATTCTGGCCACAGTGCAGCTTTGTTAGATAACTAGAAAATCCCTATACGTCTAGAAACTTAAAATGAACTACCAAATGACCCATGGATCAAAGAAGAAATTGTCATGGAAATTAGAAAATAGTTGGAACAGAATGATAAAAATTCTACATATCATAACTTCTGGAATGAAACTAAAGTAGTGCTTAGGAGAAAATTTGTACTCTCAAATGCATATATTGGGGGGAAAGAGTTAAAAGTGAATGATCTAGGCATTTATCTCAAGAAGTTAGGAAAAAAACAGCAAAATAAGTCCAAAGAAAGTAGAAGTGTCAATTATATCTCAATAAAACTGGGGGAAAAAAGAAAGTAGAAGTAAGGAAATAAAGACAGAGGGAGAAATTATTCAAATAGAAAGCAAACATACAAAAAGTTGGGTCTTTGAAGTAATTAATTAAAATTGACAAATCTCAGGGCGCCTGGGTGGTTCAGTTGGTTAAGCAGCTGCCTTAGGCTCGGGTCATGATCCCAGGATCCTGGGATCAAGCCCCACAGTGGCTCCCTGCTCAGCAGGGAGTCTGCTTCTCTCTCTCAAATAAATAAATACAATCTTTTAAAAAAAATAAAATAAAACTGACAAATCTCTAGCAAGATAGATCAAGGACAGGAAAAAAAAGGAGAGAGAGAGAAGACAAATAACCAATATAAAAACAAGGAGACAGTACTGCATTTGAATAACTTTATGTCAGTACATTTGGAAAATGTAGATTAAATAGAAAAATTACTAGAAAATAAATGTCACCAAAGATGACTCAAAAAAATTTACAAATTCTCAATAGCATTATACCCTTCAAATAAATGAAATCTTTAGTCAGAAATCTTCATTCAAAGAAAACTCCAGGCTTGTATGGCTTTGCTGACAAGTCGTACCAAATGTTGAAGGATCAAATAGTTTAAATCTTATGCAAACTTTTTCAGGCATTAAAAAAAAGAAAAAAAGGAGGAAACATTCCCCAACCCAGGAGTCTAGCATGACCTTGATACCAAAAGCCTGACAAAGACAGAACAAGAGAGAAAAATTACAGGATGCCCTCACTCATGAAAATAGGGAACAAAAATGCTAAACAAAATATTATTAGCAGCGGAATGCAGCATTATGTTTAAAAACAAAATGCCCAATTGGCTTATGAAAATGTGTTCACAAGTTAGTAATTATTAGTAACCAGAAAAATTTCAGTTAAGCAATGGAATACCATTACCACATATACCAGATTGGCTGAAATGAAACAGCCTGACGATACCACACATTGGCGTGAAAACGGAGCAGGAAGAACTCCCATTCACCACTGGTGGAAATAATGACACCACCACTCAAGAGAAAACAGTTTGGCACTGTCTACTAAAGCTTAAGTTACACATAACTCTATAACCTAGCAATTCCACTCCTTGGTAGATACCATAGAGTAGGGATCCTTAAAGTGTGGTCCTCAGTCCAACAATATCAGCAACCCCTGGAAACATCTTAGAAATGCCAAATTCCTGAGCTCTTCTCCAAACTTAATCAATCAGCAACTCTAGGGGTAGGGCCCAGCAGTCTGTTTTTACAAACCTTCCGGGTGATTCTGATGTATGTTAAAGCTTAAAAGCCACTGCCGTAGAGAAATAGGAATATATATCCATCAAGATACATGGACAAGGATGTTTTAATGGCATTGTTTATAATACCCAAACATGGAAAACAGGCCAAATGTCCATCAGTATCATAATGGATAAATGAGTCATGCAATGACTGATGAATCATTGAACACTACATCTGAAACTAATGATGTAAAATATGTTGGCTAATTGAATTTAAATTAAAAAAAAGAAAAAAAGGTGGATGGGAGGATGGGGTAACTGGGTGATGGGCATTAAGGAGGGCATGTGATGTGATGAGCCCTGGGTGTTATAACACAACTGATGAATCATTGAACACTACATCTGAAACTGATGATGTACTCTATGTTGGCTAATTGAATTTAAATTAAAAAAAAGAAAGAAAAAGTTATGCAATGGTTATACAATGCAATGAAATAAAACTGAATCCCAGCTGTACAAAAGAGTGTGGATGACTCAAACATAATGGTGAGTAAATATTCAAGACACAAAGAATATATATATATATATTTAAGATTTTATTTATTTGACACAGAGAGACACAGTGAGAGAGGGAACACAGCAGAGGGAGTGGGAGAGGGAGAAGCAGGCTTCCTGCGGAGCAGGGAGCCCGATGTGGGGCTCGATCCCAGGACACTGGGATCATGACCTGAGCCAAAGGCAGACGCTTAACGACTGAGCTACCCAGATGCCCCACAAAGAATATATTTTTATATGCATATAGAAAAGAGTGGGGGTGCCCGGTGGCTCAGTTGCTTAAGGGTCTGCCATTGGCTCAGGTCATGATCCTGGGGTCCTGGGATTGAGCCACATATCCTTGGCTCCCTGCTCAGCGGGGAGCCTGTTTCCTCCCTCTCCTTCTGCCCCTCCCCCAGCTCGTGCTCTCTCTCAAATAAATAAATAAAATCCTTAAAAAAGGCTTGTCAAACTGTACAAACGTGTTCTAAGGACCAAAACTGTACCTCCAGCCCTAACCTTAGATCTCCAGGCTGGCATACACTAGTACCTGACATGTGATGTGTGCTCAGCCTGACAATATCAGTCTTTATAATTATAATCTTTGTAGTGACTGCAAAGTATTTCATAATAAGGACATACCGTATGTTATTTGACCACTTCCTTGATGATGGGCTTTCTGAGAATATTACTTTGGCTGCCCCAATAGACTGAAAATTCTATAAGGTGAGAAACCATAACTTTCTTTTTCAAAAACAGTGCCCGCTATACAATAGTTATTTAATTGAATCGATTTTCCAAATTAACGTTCCTACAAGAAAAAAAATACTCTGGCCAGTTTTATTTATCTTTATTATAGCATAAGTTGATTCCTTGTAAATTTTGTTTAAAGTGAATTAACCAGAGAGAATCCAGTTAACTCTGGGTATATTGACATAATGAATGTTCTAGAAAATGAGACCATGGATTTTGGAGTTGAGTGATCCTTTAAGATCATTTAATTTTCCTATGTGACCTCTCTTCTCTGTTTCAATGCTATATGTCAAACTTCGGAGTTAGGAAACCATATATATCACATTTTCTGAGAGTATCTACTTAAGATATGCTAGCTTTCTTAAATGTACTTGACTCTGTATTCTAATTTGTGATTGGGAACATACGACACCATACCTGGACCTCTAGGGAATGACTGGTTCCAGAGAAGATGCTCATAGGGCAAAGCAGGCCACTTGGAAGGCTTGTTTCTTTGAAATCTTGCCTCCATACACTCTACTTTATGCCAAGTTGTCCAGCCCAGTCCTAGTAGAGTTGTAAAGGAGGTCTTCCCTGAGCATTGGCTGTCAGGGCAGAGCCCGTGAGCAGTTGCATGAAGGGACAGCAGATGGGCATGTCTCAGAGAGGAGACTGAAGCAGCTCTCACATTGGCTGGGCCCTGTCAGGTTTACCTTGGAATGTCCATTGTGATGTCATATGGAGTCACAACCTTGAAGGAGAACATTGTTTGGCTGAGAGGGGCATGGGGTTGAGTAATGGCACCGATTTGGGGGCTGGCCATCCCGCCTCCATCATATGTCAGCCCTCTACTATTATTTGGTTTCCTTGTTTGGGGGCTTTGGCTGCTCTTTTTTGGGAGACAGAGCAGGAAGCAGGTGGTAGCCAAGACAGACTCAGAGGTATGTGATGCAACCCTCCCTTGAAGTTCACTGCTCCCTGTCCCTGCCTCTGAGGCCATGGAAACTCCTATCTCTTAGGCTGGGGGAGGAACTGGGTGGGGGAAGAGGGGAGTTGAGATAGTGCCTATGGATGTCGTCCTATAAGTATAAGTCATGATCAATCCTGTTCCTTTCAGTTTATTTCAACAAATCTTGAGCACCTATTATATATGGTGGCGTACTAGACCTTGAGGAAAAATAAAACACCATCCCCACCTTCTAGGAGCTCAAGGTGAAGTTGGGGAGACAGTCAGATGGATATACACACAACACAAGGAAAGAGAAAATGATAAGAGTTAATAGAAGTATAAATACTGATGAAGAGGTTGGAGGTAAAGAGTCTTTTGAAGCAGGGGGATCTATAAAAAGACTCTGGGGAGCTCAGGTTTGAATTGTGCTTCAGAGGAAGGGTAGGGCTTTGAAGGTGGATAGTGTAGATGGAAGAGAGTAGTGAAGACTTTCCAGATAGAAGGAATGGATTGGGGAAAATCATGGGAAACTGAAGAGTGTTGGATGTGTTTGAAGAGAGGACACCTATGTGGATGGAGTGTAGAAGTATAGGGAGCTCAGTGAGAGAAAAATTTGGAAAATTGACAGAGGTGACATTGTAGAGGGCTTTCAATACTAGGCTGAATAGTTTGTATAAATATTAATTCTATATGCAGTTGAAAGATGTCAAGGGGTACCTGGGTGGCTCAGTCGGTTAACCCTGTGACTCTTGATTTCGGCTCAGGTCACGATCTCAGGATTCTGAGATCCAGCCCTGTGTCAGGCCCCACGCTCACTGGGGAGTCTGCTTCTCTCCCTCTACTTCTCCTTCTCCCTCTCTTCCTCCCCCTGCTCCCATGCATGTGCTCTCTCTCTAAAATAAATAAACAAATCTTTTAAAAAAAGAAAATAAGATGTCAGAGGTCTTAAAGCCAGGTTAAAATGTGCTTAGATCTGTGCTTTAGAGCAATGCTTCTCAAACTGCTACACCCATATGAATCAATCAGCTGGAGGTCTTGTTAAAAAGTATATTCTGATTCAGTAGGTGTGGGGTAGGGATTGAGATTCCTCCTTTCTAACAAGCTCCCAGGTGATGCTACTGTTGTTGGACCAAAGGCCATACTTGTTTTGTTGTTAGTTTTTTTTTTTTAAGATTTTATTTATTCATTTGACACAGAGAGAGAGAGAGTACAAGCAGGGGGAGCAGCAGAGGGAGAGGGAGAAGTAGGCTCCCCGCTGAACAGGGAGCCTGATACGGGGCTCGATCCCAGGACCCTGGGATCATGACCTGAGCTGAAGGCAGATGCTTAACCGACGGAGCCACCAAAAGGCACCTCTGTCACTTTTTTTTTTTAAGAAAGGAAATTTTTATGTTATTTTATTATTTAAAATTTTTAATTCCAGTATAGTTAACATACGGTGTTATATTAGTTTCAGGTGTACAATATAGTAATTCAACAATTCTATACATTACTCAGTGCTTGTCAAGATAAGTGTACTCTTAATCCCCTTCACCTATTTCACCCATCCCCCCACCCACCTCCCCTCTGGTAACCGTCTGTTTGTTCTCTGTAGTTAAGAGTCTGTCTTTTGGTTTGTCTCTATTTTTCCTTTGTTCATTTGTTTTGTTTCTTAAATTGCACATATGAGTGAAATCATATGGAATTTGTCTTTCTCTGACTGGCTTATTTAGCCTAGCATTATACTCTCTAGATCCATCCATGTTGTTGCAAATGACAAGATTTCATTCATTTTTATGGCTGAATAATATTCCACTATATATATATACCACATCTTCTTTATTTATTCATCTATTGATGGACACTTGGACTGCTTCCATAATTTGGCTATTGTAAATAATGCTGCTATAGGGACACCTGGGTGGCTCAGTTAAGTGTCCAACTCTTGATCTCAGCTCAGGTCTTGATTCAGGATTGTGAGTTCAAGCCTTGTGTTGGGCTCCACACTTAAAAAAAATGGGCAACAGACATGAACAGACATTTCTGCGAAGAAGACATTCAAACACCCAACAGACACATGAAAAGATGCTCAACATCACTCATTATCAGGGAAATGAAAATCAAAATCACAATGACCTATCACCTCATACTTGTCAGAATGGCTCAAGTCAAAAACACAAGAAACAAGAAATGTTGGCAAGGATGTGGAGAAAAAGGAACCCTCATGCACTGGTGGTAGGAATGCAAACTGGTGCAGCCACTGTGGAAAACAGTATGGAAGTTTCTCAAAAAATTAAAAATAGAGGGGCTCCTGAGTGGCTCAGTCAGTTGTGTCCAACTCTTTTTTTTTTTAAAGATTTTATTTATTTATTTGACAGAGAGAGACACAGCAAGAGAGGGAATGCAAGCAGGGAGAGTGGGAGAGGGAAAAGCAGGCCTCCCGCAGAGCAGGAAGCCTGATTTGGGGCTCTATCCCAGGACTCTGGGATCATGACCTGAGCCGAAGGCAGACGCTTAACGACTGAGCCACCCAGGCGCCCCAAGTGTCCAACTCTTGATTTCAGCTTAGGTCATGATCTCAGGGTTATGAGATTGAGCACCACGTTGGGCTCCACGCTCAGGGCCGAGTCTGCTTGAGATTCTCTCCCTCTCCATCTGCCCCTACCCCCACTCATGCTCTCTCTCTAAAATAAATAAAATCTTTTAAAAAATTAAAAATAGAATTATATTATCCAGTAATTGCATTATTGGGTATTTACCCAAAAATTATGAGAACACTAATTCAAAAGGATATATGCACCACTATGTTTATAGCAGCATTATTTTTTTAAAGATTTTATTTATTTATTTGAGAGGGAGAGGGAGAAGTAGGCTCCCTGCTGAACAGGGAGCCCGATGCGGGGCTCGATCCCAGGACCCTGAGATCATGACCTGAGCCGAAGGCAGCCGCTTAACCTACTGAGCCACTCAGTCATCCCAGCTTTGTAGTATACCTTGAAATCTGGATTTGTGATACCTCCAGATGTGTTGGGTTGTTTTTTTTTTCCCCCCAAGATTGCTTTGGCTCTTTGGGGTCTTTTGTGGTTCCATACAAATTTTATGATTGTTCTAGTTCTATGAAAAATGCTCATGATATTTTGAAAGGGATCACATTAAATCTGTAGATTGCTTTGGGTAGTATGGGCATTTTAACAATATTTGTTCTTCCAAGCCAGAAGCATGGAAGTCTTTCCATTTGTGTCATCTTCAGTTTTTTTCATCATTCTTTTGTAGTTTTCTGAGTACAGGTCTTTTACCTCCTTGGTTAAGTTTATTCCTAGGTATTTTATTATTTTTGGTGCAGTTGTAAATGGGATTGTTTTCTTAATTTCTCTTTCTGCTGCTTCATTATTAGTGTATAGAAATGCAGTGAATTTCTGTATATTGATTTTGTGACCCAGGACCACACTTTGAAAGTGAAGCTTTAAAATAACTTCAGTAAGCGTCTATGGCAGTTGTCTGGGTAGCTAAGCCAATTGGAGGCTCTGTTAACAATACAGTGGGAAGGAGGGAAAAGGAAATTAAAAAATTAGAGCAGGATGGTAGGCGAGAGGACATGGATTCATTCCTCAAATGTTTATCATCCACCACCACCACCGTTATGTACAAGGCACTCCTCTAGGCTCTATGGATACAGCGGTAAGTGGAAGGGACAAAAATCTTTGCCCTCCGGGGGCTATTGTGATAAAAGTTTGGATGTGAAAAGTAAAGCAGAAAGAGAGGGAAGGGACTGAATTTATTTTTATTTTTATTTTATTTTTTTAAAGATTTTATTTGTCAGAGAGACAGCGAGAGAGGGAACACAAGCAGGGGGAGTGGGAGAGGGAGAAGCAGGCTTCCTGCTAAGCAGGGAGCCCGACGTGGGGCTCAATCCCAGGACCCTGAGATCATGACCTGAGCCGAAGGCAGACACTTAACGACTGAGCTACACAGGTGCCCCTGGGACTGAATTTTTTTTTTTCCTGATTGGACCTCAAATACAAGAGTTAATTATAAACATTATCACTGTTTTCCTACAAGGACTATATTCATCTTTGTACCCCCTGTGCCTAGTGCACTGTCTGGCATTCAGTAAGTGCTCCCTGGATGTTTGTGAAATGAATAAATGACTTTTCAATTTTAACCCTGAATGACTGACAAGATGATGGCATTTTGAACAACACAGGAAACCTTAGACAGAAGTTGTGTGGTAGGAGGCAGAAAATGAACTATTACATTTGAAGTGCTTATAAAATTTTTGTGGAAATATTCACCTAGCAGCTCAAGTTAATGGTCTAGATCTGTGCTATCCAGTCTGGTATCCACCTGCCACATGTGGCCATTCAAATTTAAATTAACCAAAATTACATTAAATTTAAAATTCAGTTCTTCAATCGCGCTATGGACATTTCAAGTATCACATGTGGCTAGAGGCTATCATATTGGACAGGGCAGATCTAGAATATTTCCATCATCATAGAAAATTCTCCTGGACAGCATTAGCTTACACTCTAGATCTTGGAGGTAGATCTAGTTATCAATATATTTGGCCACAAAGTCCTTTCAATTTTTTTTTCCCTCAGAAACATCTCTCAAACACAGCAATCCTGATTGAGTATTACTGTCTTAACCAGGACTTCATCTATTTACAGTATGCTAGCTGGTCTCCTACAAACGTTCTCCAGCCTAGAGCATGGAGCATAGACCCTGGCCCTACAGAACGAAAACAACATACACAGAACTTCCCCTAGCTGATGGTGTCACTTTGCCAAAAGTGACTAAACAAACAAAATCTCTCAGCCATCCCACTGCCTGCAGCAGCTTTTCCCAGCCTGTTTTGACCCTCAAACTTCCTTCATTGTCAAAATTTGTCAGCCCCTTGGGAATTTAAACATCATTTTATCTCTTTTTCATAATATATGATAAGTGACTTTAGGTATATTATATTTTCATTTTAAACCAGCATGTTTTTTAAAATCGCAAAGTTCATTTTAA